GTGAAAAGTAAACTTCTTTTAGTGAAGCATGAATTATTTTTTTTAAGACAAATTTTACTTTTAAAACTTACTCCAAAGAAGAGAAAAAGCCTCTTTGTTATGCATTTTTGTCTTTCGATTCCATACAAAACATGTTTTATTCAAGACAATATCACCAAAAGAAAGCCTTGTTTGTGCCCCCAAAAATGATATATGCATTATTTTGCTTACTTAGATGCAACCCTCCACTTGACTGGTTGAAACAAATGTGGCCCTTGGGCACTTTCAAGTTGGGCACCACTGACCTAGAGCAGCCTTTCTCAACCAGGGTGCTGTGGTACCCTGGGGTGACTTCTGGCTTCCTCAGGGGTGCCTCAACATTTTGTGCCAGTTGGACTCTGATGTGAAGGCGGGACCTAAGGTGAAACGAGGAGGCTCTGATGTGAAGGGGGGCTACTGATGTAATGGTGGACTCTAATGGGATAGGGAGGATTCTGATGTAAAAGGGGGGGCTCTAATGTAAAGGAGAGTTCCTGATTTGAAGAGGGGGACTATGATGTGAAGGAGGAACCCCACTTTTTTGTGTTTTTGTAGGTGTCCCCATTTAAAATCAGTTACATTATAGACTGGGGTGCCTTGAGATGTTGCATACTTTTAAAGGGCGTGACTAATAAAAGGTTGAGCAATATTGGTCTAGAAGACTGACAACTTGTGTTACCAAATTTAAAAAATGATCATAAAATAAAAGTCATTCTAGACATTATTTTTCTAGAGCAGGTCAGAAAATTAAAGAAGGGTTCTGATTGTTTTTTACATAATTCCTGGTCTTTTTGCATCTAAACATATCTTCCTTGGCTAAGAGTTTCAGCCCAAGTCAATATGTGCTTTCATCCTCATGATTAACATTCGTCTTTGATAAATAGAGTTACTTTTTCTGTAGTCATGTCTCTCCACGTCATCGCCATTTGTAGAATGAAATAAATATTGATACGGTTGGGATGTATTCAATTTGTCCTGATCAGTGGCTTGCAGTCATTCTGACAGGAGGCTGTGTAAAACAGAAGCCGGAATGTAATTTTTATTGTCAACATGATGTACAGTAGCACTCAGCCAAACAGAGCGCTGTGACTGGAGAAAAGGGAGGTTGCATTATGTAAGTTAGGAAAGTGGGGGCTATACCTCACAAATACATTGAAGACTGGAACACCTGCGACAAGATCTGAATATTTCATTATTTTGCTGAGCTCTATAGCAGAACTGCCGCCACACACACATGGAAAAAAGCTTGCAGTTATTGGATTATTCTGAAAACCCCATCGGAGGAGATACAACAAATGACTGGGCAGCAGGTGCAGTTACTGAGGATGTCACTAACCCATAGATAATAACTGGAAATCTTGTTACCATCTAGCACTTCTGTGTCTGATTTTATTGTTGTCACTTTATTAACATTTACGACTGAATCACTGAATGCAGGACTGTGTATTCATGAGATACTCGTCCACTAGGCTGAGAATCAGATTTAAAGCTGAACTCCAGGCAGACAGCTAAATACACAGATAAAATGCATGTAAGGGAGCTGTTTTCCTGCCATAGGATCAGTGGCGTAACCAGAGTTATGGGCGCCCGGGGCAGAATTTTTTTTCCGCCCCCCCCATATTATATAAACATCCACTAGAACTGTACCCCCCACCCCCACACATATTTATCAGCTAAGGAACTACAAGTCCAAGCATGCCATCAGGGAGAGGGAGCCATGGCTTCGTTTAGCAGGGGTCGTGACGGCGCCCCCCCTCAGTCCTGTGCCCGGGGCAAGTGACCCCCCCGCACCCCCGGTTGTTACGCCACTGCATAGGATTTACATTTGTCCATCAAGATACGAGATTTACACAGCTCTGGCTGCAAGCAAAGCCGATGATACCACTTTTGTTTTTTACAGTTGTAGACTGCAGCAGTGATACAGTGGTGTCTGCTCTCCACTCCTAGCCTGTTGATGGGACATTGATAGAGCAGCAGCAGACTGAAGAGGTGATCTCTTTGCCCGCTCTCTGCTCTCTCCTCCTACCTTTGCACACTCTGCTCTCTCATCCTACCTTACCTCTCTCTGCTCTCTCGTCCTACCTTTGCACACACTCTGCTTTCTCCTCCGACCAACATGCAAACTGCCTGATTGGCTCCCAGTGCTGTCTCTTACTCTTCCAGTCTAGGCCCCTTCCACACTTGAGCGTGAGCATTCTTAGGTGATTTTGAAGCTCTTTGTTTTTTAGGCATTTTCAGGCTTAACATGTTTTGTTTTTGCCAAAAGCTATTTATTAAGAGGAGGAGACCGTTGTTAAATGCAAAATTGGCCACCATTTTGCGAAAAACATGCATTTTGAGGGGGTGCGGGAGGCCCGAAAAAAAATCTTGCACCAGGGCCTTTTGTTCCCTAGGTCCCCCACTGTGTTTAGGTGTGAATGGGTATTACTGAAAATACTGGGATTCTTCATGTTAAATTTTGTCGCGCTAAGAGAAACTTATGACAAAATGTTCAGGTGTGAATGGGCAGTACTGAAAATACTGAGATTCTTCAGGTTAAGTGTTGTCATGCTTTCGGAAATGCATGACAAAATGCTCAGATGTGAATGGGCATTATTGAAAATACTGGGATTCTTTATGTTAAGTGCTGTCGTGCTTTGGGAAATACATGACAAAATGCTCAGGTGTGAATGAGGGCTATCTGCTGTTGTGCAGGGTATTGCAGGAAGCTGATATTAAGACAAAATAAAGGTATTTACACAATGCATTTAAAACAATACATTTAATTATGTAGTAATGATAACGGCTCTGTTCATTTGTCTTTTATATCTGCCTAGAGTTTTGTTTTAAAGGAAACATGTTAGAATAGATATGTCAGCTGCCATTTATGACTTGTTACTGGCTCCACGACTGTCATTTTGGGTTTGGCTTTTGGCCTAATAAACAAGTATGCAGGATGGAAGTCCAGATTCTGAGACTCAGTAGCTTCAAGACAATGGGGTCTATTTATAAATAATTTGCATGGCCCTTCAACCCTGTGTATATCTGTGAATGTTCGTCTTGGGTGAATTAAAGAACTACAGGAGAATCAAAAAATTAACCTTGCAGTAGGGATACCCCCACACTGCAAGAGTTAAGTGCTCAATTGCTCTAGGGGACACAAATAAATCAGTTTTACTCACCTGATCCTCGGTACCTTGCCGGTCAGCACTCATCTCTATGGAATATCCCTTTGCATCCTCATGTGTAATGCAGGTCACTAGACCTGCATAAGATGTGATGACATTAGCAGTCCTTCAACCGCCAAAGTCTAGGGGAGAAGGAGCTGTGGAGCCCGATCTAGCAGGCCAGAGAGTGTTGGCAGGACTGAGAAACACGTAAGTAAATCTGCTTTATTTGAGTCCCCTAGACAAAACAAGCACTTAACCATTGCAGTGCAGGGGGTAGTCCCACTGCAAGGGTTAGTTTTTGATATTGCGGAGTTTGTTTTGGAATTATTCACCCAAAATAAATGTTCACAGATATTTGTTTATAAATAGACCCCATTGTCTTCTTTAATATAATTTTTTTCCCCGTTCCAATATCTTGCCATGTAATACTACAATATGGCCACTAGATGGAGGTGAGGAGCATAGGCAATGCTTATTTCCTATGTTACTTAGCTCCGTCTAGTGGCCAAGATGTGATATTACCAAAACGAATGTTCACATGCTCACAAATTGTATAAAAAATATATAAATGTAGTGTTAAACATATGTGTAGTGTTTTGTATATTTTATTTACTTGCTATGTTTGTACAACGTTCAGAAATAGAAAAAAAACTCAATACATTTTGAGTCACTAAGCTTGAACAAGTATGAAAATTAAGACCTGAATTAATTTGCTGCATGCTGCAGGTGAGCAACTCAAAGTATTGCATACAGAGACAGCCCAGGTCAGCAATGGTCGCTTACATAGCACACTCGCTACATGCCTGCTGTATAGTGATAAAACTAAATATGACAGGCAACAAAAAGCAAAACAAGATAACGAGTTCTTCAAATAAGTCTTTTTGTTTCTCTGTTTAGGTCGCTGACCTCTTCTGCGCTCCAGGACACGTTCAGCACCAAGGACGAGTCTCCATGCTCTACTGTTCATGTGGGTCAAGATGAAAGATACAAGCTTGCCATTTTTTGGACAGTGAACTTGGTCTCTACTCGCCACAGTCAGAGCAGCAGTTAAATTGGAAGGCCTGGATTCTCCACTGTAAGGTGGTGACTTACAGCGTTTGGTATACAGCTCGGCTATCTTACCTGCTAAGTGATCTGACATTTCTTTGGACACTTCTATGGGATGCAACATTTTTTTCAGTTTTTTTTTTTTTTAATGAGCAGCTGTACATTCTATCCCAAACCAGAGATGTTTGATCTCATCATATAACGCCAACTTTTTGATATTTGCACTGCAGCTGCAAAGTGTGTTAGTGCATACCGTGCCATATTATTCCCATCAGGTTTATCAGATCACCACATGATTATATTCCCATAGATTAATCCTAATATAGCCCATCACATGTGTCTGTGATGCCCAGCGTTATACAGTTAACTACTACCACTTAATATCTGCAGAATCCATTTAATAACGTGTGAACGTTAAATACCTATCGATGGGATTACAACCCAGCTCAGAGCATCACTTCCGTACGCAGCTCTACATTATGTGGGATTTGGGTATATTATCTCAATATAACCTCCTAGGAAGCCCTGTTAAGCTCTTTGCGTTAACCCCATGTATAATTTAGCGTGTTTGTTCGACAGCTTTTGCATATTCCGTGCCAGCTGTGCTTATCGGTTTTAATGCACTTCTAGCGCATCCTAATTACCCCAAAGTGTTGTCTATACGGCCGAACCCATTTAATACAAAGAAGCTTGCTCAAACTCTGGATTGTATAGAAGTGTAGAGTAGTACATAAGAGAAGAGCTTCTTTTGTGTGCCCAAGATTGCGGCTAGAAACACACAAGTGTATTCTGTGATATGGCACGGCGCAGCTGGCTTTGGATTCTGATTCCGGCACCTATTTCTGCATAAGTTCATTAGCATGAGAGCATCCCAGGAATAGGCAGGCGAGCCTACTGTGTGCAGCACTTTGTACATAACATTCCCCTGCTGCAGGAAACTGAAATGTATTGAGGGATGCCTGAGGACAGCACAGGCTTTTGCAGAAGAGTGCAGTATACTGGTAGCTCCACAGATCATTTCTCAGCTGGATCTCAGAACTGTACTTCTAGACCTCCAGGTAGAGCTTCATACACCTGTTAGAGCCCTGATCACGGCACAGGCTTCATTACACAGCTCCAGACGTGCGAACAGCTGTCTTGGCCGTACTCAATATATGCCTTTCCCTATAGCTGCATGCAAGTGCATCCAGGACTTTTGTTGCTCCAGCCGGTGTTTGAGGTCTCTTGGACAATGTCCCAGCTGATTGCCCGGGAATGAGTAGTACAAGAAGCTTGTTCCTTCTCTGTCGATGTGACAGTTGGCGTACTTGTCCTCCCTGCGTGATGTGAGGCCCCAGGGATCCAGTGGACTTGGGATGGCTGCAAAGGGCTTTGCCTGGACTGTGGTGCTGATATTCTGCAGCCCGGAGCTCTTGGGAATGGTTTCCATGGAGACGGGATTGTCGTTGGAGGTGTCTGGCCGGGTGAAGCGTGGCTGGGTGTGGAACCAGTTCTTCGTGGTGGAGGAGTACACGGGGACAGAACCACTTTATGTGGGGAAGGTATGAAAAGAGATGACACAGGCTGCTCTTTCAGAAGCATATGGGGAAGGAGGGGGGCTGCTCGTGATGGGTCTACACACACACGCTCACACACATACACACACAACAATGCCTGTAGGGAAGAGTGTAAATAGGACGCGGCGTCTGAGGGACATCACTAGGGAGAATTGCGTGCCTGAAGGAGAGCAAACGGAGACAATAGCCTTAGGGGAACACGTGGGCGAATCAAACACAGACAGAAGATCCTGACGAGATGAGGTCTGAGTGAAAACCCGGCATGTGTAATACCTCTGGGTAATCACACTGCTGCAAGTCATAGAGGGGCCAGCAGTGACACGGAGGGAGCAAGACTAGATTCCATTTCAATTTCATGCATTTTCCTTGGTGCCTCTCATGTTCATCAAAGCCGGGAACATTTTTTTTTTTGCTTGGAGATTTCATTACAATCAAATATGCCTTTAAATCGTCCTTTCTCCGCGTCGAGTTAAATTTTTCATACCAGTTTAATGTATTCCTTTACATTTAAACAAGCCGCAAACAAATAGCTTTTATTTTCCTTTATGGTAATTTTCTCCCTGTCAGGGTGTTGGGGCGCAGCATTTGAAGTGTCGTAGTTTTCTTATGCATTGTTTCGTTTCAGTCAGGAGAATAAAGACATCAGAGTGTGCTGAAGGGGTTTAGGTAAAATGAGAAGATTGGATCTGGAGGTTTCGGGGTGGCACAGATCTAAAATGCGTGAGTGGTCTGTGACAACCTAAAGAAACTTTACTGAGTTTCAGAAGTCAGTCATTTAAAGGCCAATTGGGTCATGGCATTGCAGGTGGTACCCAATACATTGAAAAATAAATCATAATATAAATAAAAACGCCCAACACCATTTGGAATAAAATTTGACCGCTGCACTTTTATTGGTTTAAAATAAATCAACTTTATTTATTCAACAAAATCATCAGTAAAATAATCAATCAACCAAAGAACTTGCTTAACCATTACGACTCAAGCAACACAAGCAAAAACTGTACACCGAATAAAGTCCCCCCCCCTCATGCTGAGGGTGGCAAACCACATAAAAGTCAGCGACATATATAATTAAATGTCAAATTTTTGGAGGGGGCAAAGGGGAAGGGGGGTGGGGGTGCTCGCTGTGTTGTGAGTCCAGCCAAGTGACCTTTGGTCCTTAGGAGCCGTCCTTTTATAGGGAGAGGATGAGCCCCTCAGAAGGTTCTGGTACTTTCTGTCATTTTCCCGCGTAAACAGGTAAGTCATACCTAAAGGGACCATGCTCTTCAAGTGGCAACC